ATTCTTATATGAATATTTAAAAATCTCACTTGAATTAGTTGACCTAGCCGCGCGAGCCAGGGTATCAAGTCCAGCCGGATCTGTGAGCCAAGTTAGCATGCGATTATAAGATTGGCGTGCGCGGCCAGCGAGCCGACGCCATGGCTTTGGCCGGCAAAGTAGATCACTCGTGGTACCCTGGCTCAGTGCCAGCACGTGCCTGGCAAATAGTCGCTGACTAATGCCCTTACTGTACAAACGCTTACGTACAGCAGCGGCAATAGCTGTGGTATCTGGAACTTCTGAAGTAGCCGACCTGCTGGAGATAAGGCCAGTAGCTATAGGCTCTATTGATGATCCAACGAAATCAGAATCTTCACAGTCATCCTCCGACAACGAAGTATTTGATCCTTCGCCAGCACATGACACTGCGATGGTTGCAGCAGAATCTGTTGACCCGTGTATTGTTTCTGGTCAAAAGTAGGCAGAGTCAGAAGGTGAAAACATATAAACTGTGTTGCAAGAGGGATATAAGCGCAAACAATGGTGCACTTTAATAGTTTTGTTATAGGAAGATAATTAAGCATAAAGCTAGAAAATTGAGAAGGTATTAAGGCCTCTACTCAGGTTAAAATTTAGAACGATATTAGCACTATTCATTGAGAAAATTACAATGTCGGAATCAAGTTAAGTGTGGTATAAAAGTATGCCTAAATAAAGAGGAATTTCCTGTCATCAAAATCATAAAAAATATATATTTCTCTTTGACTAACGTCAGGTGAGTATGAAGGCATTTCATGAGGAATAGACGGTTTTAGTATAGATTTAAATTTAAACAGACATGATAATAAAATCGATTGGTACAATTATTGGAAACTAGTATCCTATAATAAATTTACATCCTTTATCTAGTAAAATTAAGTTGTGCATAACATATGAGAATATGTGTGGAGATAGGTAATCGTATGATCAATATTTCATAAATTGATAGGTGGTCTGTCAAATATGAGTAGTCTAGAAAATTATCCCTTCATTCTATTGACTTGGATCAAAGCCTAGTATGATCTGTCTCGTTATTTCCTATCCTTAAGTGTAGTTCTAAAGATGAAAGAGAAAGGTAAAAGATATATACTTAAGCAGGCCAAAAATTCATGACTCAGATCAGCCTTCATTTTTCTTCAGCAAAAGAAGTTCAAGAGCATTAAACGTCACGCAATCAATCAATAGAAAGTACCATAAATCCAGACCCAGTGTAATTTAAACAGATTAAGATTTAAGAATATAAATTCAAAACATTTTAAAGTACTACTTTAATTAAGCAGACGAGTAGGATGTGAAAAAATCAACTATGACGAAGTGTATATTTCCGATGATACTAGTAACTCTGAGATTAAGTCAAGAGAAAAGATTTAACAAAGGAATGACAACGAATTATAAGAAAATATGGTCATTGATATTTTTATGTAGCATATTTGAAGCAAATATTATAGCCAAACCTTAAAAATAAATCAATTCAGCTTTGAATCGACAGCGTATGGTACATGAATAGAAATCCGAGGATAAAAAATAGTGAAAGATAAGGTTTTATCCTGAATATACAGAGCTAGCATGTATTATGCGACAATAAGGCCAAAGATGGTTCGTTGGCAGGCTTCGCCAAGAATATCAAATTAAAAACCAAATTAGTGTGATAAAAGAGTAAATTTACCTTTTATAGTGTAAATACAGGACTCTGCATTATTAGGTGTTGAGGGGAAAAATATCTTTGAAGACTCTGTAGAAATAAATTATATATTTTATGAAACTGATTGGATTTCTTGCGTCTAATTTGTATAATTAAATGTCATGCGATATATATAGGTATAAATCATTGCAAAATGTGCGAAATATAGGATTGACGGATAAGGACAAATTGACTATGATATTCCTCGGCAACATATACAAGAGAACATAAAGAAATATAATGACAGTAAAAAAACGACTACACGACCGAGGGTTATAAAAGAAAGGTAGGTCTAAGAAAGACTCACAAAAGCGAATATGCCTACCTTTATGCGAACATCCTCAAAAACTACGGCCAGTACTAATTCAGGTTATAACAAGGGAAAATCAACACTTCACAAATATACCCACCTAACAGGAGAGGCTGACAAATTGAATTGAGCGGGGAGCGAAACAATGAGAAAAATCAGCATACGTATCAGGGATCAAAGGATCTGCAGGAAAAATCAGAAATAGCGGAACACAGCACGGACTGGACACGAGATCAATTGGAAGACAACCGAAAGAAAAACTTCATAGGATTAAAATACAAGAAACCGAATATTAGGGAGGTCAATTACATTAATGCGGAGAGAAATTTAATGAGCAGATTGGAAGAAGGCAGAGCCAGTGATAACTTTGTCTATTGCTTAAATAAACCCGAAGGAAACGAAGATATGACAAGACCAGAAATAATGGGACGTCTTGATCAAGGACCTATAGTTAATCAAGGGAAAAAGGATCGCGAGGAAGAAGCGGATAAAGCAATTTAGAAAATTGAGTGTAATTTACTCGCATAAACAACTCTAACTCTAGGGGCCTGGCGGTCCCGGGACTAATGAGACGGATTATCACAACCGTCACAGAAATTCGGCATTATAACCACATTGAGTAGGAATCTATCGAGAGGTACCAGGCGACCAGATATAGACGTCCACAATTTGCTCCGAGTACACGGGTTGAATCAAAGAGACGATTCGCAAAGACAATGAATGCCTAATATCGTAAGCACGGGAATCAGAGCTTATACGGTCTGCAGGCGAGGTGATATTGTGGGTGCTACTGACGGCTTGAGCAGAAGCAAATGGGGTAAAAAGTACACTGGGGCTGGAACCGAGTGAAATCTGTCAACCAGAAAGGTTGGAAACGGATCTACGAGACGATGAGGGAGATCCGGATTGATGGCATGAAAGAGAGGGGGGCAAGGTGAAGGGCAGGTGTGATGAGGCCACACCAAACTTGCCAAAAATGGCACATCTTGTGACGAGTGGAATGTAAAAAAATAAGAAGTGATAGGACGGGAGTGTGATAAGAGGGTAAAGAGTAGATATATGAGACAAGACAGAAAGAGAAGTGATGGCACAACCGTTTTGACAGAAAGTTAGTCTAGGGATTGATTTCATTTGCCTCTTTGACTAGTTTTAGTTTGGTGCTGAGAATGGAAACTCTCTGATGATGTCGACAAAACGTCTGGGAATTTACCTAGTCCATGGTCAGACTTTATAGATTAACATGCATACTATAGACTCCGGACAAGGTACGTCCATCTAAACCTTCCTACCAATATGACCAGGCTGCGAAAACAAGGTCAAACAACCACTATACATCGAAAAGAGACCAAAATAGAGGCCACATTACCTTTCTCTTCGTA